ATACAACAAAGAACTATCCAAGCACAGGGCCAATTGTGTCCCACTAAGAAATGCTGGCAGATTGTGGCTTTCTAACTTTTCTGAACAAGACCGTCGGTCTCACAATCTCATAAACACACACTATTTTTTTTAAAGATTTTTTTATTAATTTATTTCAGACAGAGAGAGAGAGAAAAAACACAAGCTGGGGGGGGGGGGGGGGCCAAAGGGAGAGGGAAGAGCAGACCCCCTGATGAACAGGGACCTCCGCCGTGGGGTTTGATCCCAGGACCCTGGGATCATGACCTGAGTCGAAGGCAGACACTTAACTGACTGAGCCACCCAGACGCTCCCATTTCAAAATTCTTAATCAGCACCAGTGAGTGGAAATGTGAAACATGTTGGGAATCTCTCTGTAAGCATTAGTCATCTGCTCTCACCCTCTCTCTCTACTTGACTTACAAATCTCAGGGCTAAAGTGAAAGCCCCAGTGATTTCTGATGAGCTAAACTAGTCTTGCTCTGTCTCCCAAAACCAGATGCCCAAAGAGAGACAAACAACTGTCCATTGCCGAGGCCTGTGGTTTTCACAGGGCCCTGCTCTGAGGTTGGCGGCCCATGTGTTTTGCATTTCCCCACGGGGTGGGAGAACAGATGGATCCTAGCCATTCAAAGGTTTTACATCACAGTGGACAAAGGAACCAGCCACAGTGGGAGTGGAGTGGGGCTGAGGGCTCTTAGATTCAAGCTGAGGGGGCTTAAGGGAATATTTCTCACCTTCCTAAACCACAGTCTGGCACCTCCATCAGATGGGCAGCCTGGTTCCCCGAATCAATTCCACACTTCCCTGCCACAGTGTGCAAGCAGACCAGGTTCTAACATGCGGGAAGAAGCACAAGAATAGACACCAACCATAGGCCAAGGGCAGGGCCAGGCTCAAGGAGTGGGGCCTGTGACACTGGTTGGCGGAGCCACCAACCACCCTTTAACTACCCCCTGACCACTAACACCCGTCACAAACTAAATAATCAGATCCTTCCCTCCCACTGCATCCTCTGATATTCTTACCACACTCTTAACTATCATCATATCAACATACTACTTTAAAATGGTTGAACAGACACCATTTTCAGAAAAAGTGGCCTCCCCCTGCCTCTCCGTGGACAGTCCCTTCTTATCTTGGTTTAAGCTGTCCCTGCTTCCTGGATTTAGCGACTCGGTGTTCTCGTATGTAGAGTCATTGGGTAAAGCACCACACACTCTCCCTGCAGGGCCCTGGTGCCGCCCAGGTCTGGACGCCCCCTACCCCACTCCCCTGCTCCCTGCACCGCTCCAGGCCCTGGGGGCGGGGGGCCCAACCCTTCCAGGGCTCCCATTCCGAAGCACAGGCGAGATTCCAGGTTTTGCAACCAAAAAGCAAACAAAATAAAACTGGCTGGCACTGGCCTGAGCGGGTCTGTGTTCTTACAATCTAAACAAGATTATGACGACTCACCAAGGTAGGGGCCTTCATGGCTCCTCCCTGCTTCTCTCACATGATCCTCACGGGAGCCCTGGAGGTGGCAGGGCCCCTCTCCCCCCGCCACACCCCGGCTCTCCAGGTGACCCCTGGCAAGACAGCTGAGAGATTCTCACCTTCGCAAGAGGGGTTGCAGGAGCATCACGGGACTTCCGAGAGTGATGGGAGCTTCTCATAACCACGTGCATCCAAGGAAATCCCAACACGCCTTGTTCACCACCTCAGCATGGCGCTTCACATATAACATGTGCCAAGAGGGACTCTGGCTGATGTGCGTACCTCGCTGTTTGCTTGGGGTGGGCCCATGGGACCCCCGATTCCAAGAGCTGCCTGTGGTCTGCAGGTCGAGGAGGGGTTGGCATCTTCAGCCCAAGGAGGCGGCAGCACGCTAGAGGTAACCCGCACCTGGGAGTCCAGGCCCTGAACCCAGAGACAGGGGAGACCTCCCTAAGAGGCCCTCATCTGTGACCGTTTTGTGAAGGAGCAAGTAGCCTCTCCACCGCAGAAATTCCTGGAAGTACTCAGGTATTACGCCCGGAGAAAATAGCTGACGGGTATGCGGATCACGTGAGCCTTGGAGAAAAAGGTTCGACAGTGCTGTGTGGGCTCTTTTTAGAAAAGCTCAGCAGTGTAAAACATCTCAGGAAAGACTCTCATCGAAAACAAATAAAATAAGAAGCAACTTTTTAATTGTTTTCATTTAAAAGGGCAAGCTTGTAATGACTTAGAAAATGATGAGGAGTGCCCTTTGCCCAAAGTTTTACATACATGTGTTACAAGGGATTTTCTTAAAGCCAAATTTCCTTTTTTTAATGTTTGTGAACCTCATGAAATGGAACACCTACCTTCTTCAAAAGATACTTTGAAGCCATAAAAATGTTCATACACTTTGACTCAATAATCCCCTTCTGGGAAGCTAGCCTAAGAAAATACCCTGAAATATGGAAAAAGCCATATGCAGAAAAATATTCATCAAAGAGTTGCTTAGTGAAAAACTGGAAGCAGCCCAAATATTCAAAAAAGGAAAGAAAGGATGGTAAAGTAAATTATGGTATAAGCCTTGAAGAAATGTTCTATAACCATTAAAAATGATTGGTATGGAGTTTATGAAGGATCACAGAAAACACTTATGATGAAAGTATTGGGTGCGGAAAGTCTGGAACAATATTTGCACACACGTGACCTGTAAAAATAGGAAAGGAACATAAAAATATAGTTGTTACTATGTCAAAGTGGTAGGCATATAGATTTTCCTTGTTTTCGAATATGTCTAACATTATTGTATCTCTACTTTTTACAAAAGTTCAATCCCTAAAAAAAAACATGTGGGGGGTTGGGGGGACAGTAGATGCTGTTCATGCTTTAAGTAGGAAGAAACATTAGTAGAGGTCAGGGGTAATTAAGATGGGAAACTACCCATCTTAGTGCCCAAATTATTGCTTTTAGAATGCTTTCATGTTTTAGGAAATAAATATGTAATACACGCGAAAGGCAGTTTTGTTCAAGGCTCAAACCACGCAAATTATATTACTGCAGGAAGCATTCAGGGTTTACAGAGTCTCTTATTTCTGTGTTTTGGGTTGCTCTGGATCCACTTATAAGGCTTCTTGTCAAGGAGCCTGGAACTGATGCTTCATATCTCTCTACATTTTTATATCATCTGTAGCACTCAATATGCCACGGATATGAATGTTAGACTGAGAAAACAAATCTCATTTTCTCCCTCCACCATCCAGGACACTTATAATAATGGAAGAATTGAAAGGAATTCAAGGTCATTCATGTATAAATCTCCTTGGCAGGAGTCCATGTCACAGCGATGTGGGTGGGGAGTTGGACATTCAGCATCTTGGGAGTGCTATGAAGTGTGAATCTGGAGTCAAAGTCCTACCTGGGAACAAGACAAGGCCTGTGTGCAAAGGTGAAAACAAAGCACAAATCCAAATCCAAATCCCTAGGAAAATACAAACTAGAAATGTAAATCAAAGAGACATGGTTCTTAACGCAATTAAAAAAAAAAAAGGAAACATAATGACACCTGTTCCAGTTATGTAATGTTGCACAACAAACTATCCTAAAATTTAGCAGCTTGAAACAAACACCATTTTATCGTATTTCATGATTTTATGGGTCTAGAATTTAGGCAGGGCTCATCTGAGAAACGCTTTTGCCCTTCATGGCCTCTGAGGGCACTCACTAGTACTTGGCTGGAAAATGAATCTAGAGGATCCAAGGGTCCCCTCATGTGCCTGATGCCTGGGGTGGCTGGCAGAATGGGCTCGGCTGCAGGTATTGGCCACAGCTTCTACACTGAGCCCCTCTAGAATGGCAGTCTCTTCAGCAAGGTTGGAGCTCTTATGTGGTAGGTGGCATCTCCCAGAGCAAGCATGCAAAGATACCTAGCCAAAAGCTGCAAGACTTCTTGCAACTTAGCTCAGAAGCTCCAGAACACCACTTCTGTCACAAACTGTTTGTCAACACATCACTAAGGCTAGCCCAGGTCAAAGGCAGGGAATTAGACCTCATCTCTCAACAGGAGAGATAGCAAAGAATCTGTATTCATCCCTGGTCTACCACAGCATCGGTCTACATGAATTAGATCAGGAGGGAAATTGCAGGGAGCAAGCAGGGCAGACAAAGGTATCGAGATGGAGTTCATGCATAATATATTCATGGTGATGGTGTAGATGGGTACCACATTTTGAGAAGGCACCTCGTCAATATGTACAGAATGTATAAAATCGGAGGAAGGCTATGAGGATTCACCAAGAACTCACTTGCCCTAAAGCTGGGCTTTTTTCTTAATGCTAGCTGCCACTGGCCTCACCTGGGGGCTTTCAAAACCACTCCTGCTTGATCCCACTCCCAGTAATTCTGAAGTGCGTGGTCTCAGGCATGGCCAGAGGCAAAGGGATTCCCAGAAGCTCCCCCAAGTGACTCCAATGTGCAGCCAAGACTGTGAATCCCTGCTATGGGCGCTTGTGATACTCCTCATAAAAATCAAGTGAATGAATAAACTCAGCTTTTTCCTTATTGCACTTTAGGGCTAAATGCCACCGGATGGGGTCTTACGGTCCAAAGATTTGGGAGCTTAAAGAAAAATTTAACTCCTCGGACACTAAGGTCAACTCTGGAATGTTGTCACATGTTCAGAGCTTGGAGATTTTGCCAAGACGGGTTTAAGTTTGCTTTTTTTTTTAAAAAAATAACATGGTGAACAGCTCTGTGTTGATTCCCCCTTTCCCTTATTATTTTGCAATGGCACGTGTTCAAAGACTTGAAAAATTCAATGTACCATGTCCCTGATATAGATGTCTAAGAATAAGTTAGAATACATTTCAAATATATTTAGAAAAAAATACCATTTTGTACTACAAGGATTGAGGTTCTATAGAAAGACGCCTTTCAGAATAAATGTCAGGCATTCTTTTAGGATGAGTAAGTCCCTACAGAGGTCCCATGGCAACCAGTCAGTTCATCCTCCAACGACTCATGACTGCTCATTGATTCTGTGCAAGGCCTTCTGGAATGGGGTTGGGGCTGTAACACACGCATGGATGACATGGAAACTCTTGGTCCAGTCCTGGGAAATTGATGCTTTCTTTCCTTTCGCAAACCAGAGAGACCCAGCAGTGTTTGCTCAGACTTTTCTTTTTCACTCTCCGAATCTTCATGCCCCCTGGGATCTGATGAGCAAGGGCTACAATGGAAGAAGTATGACAAATAGTGCAGTGGTTCTCAAAGTATGGTCCCTGTACCAGCAGCATCCGCATCACCGGGGAACTCGTCAGAAACACAAACTCTCCTGCCCACACAGCAGACCTACTAAATCAGTAATCGTCGGGTGGGGCCCAGCCATCAGTATTTTAACCAACCTTCCAGGAGATTCTGGCCCACTAGAGCTGGGAACCACTGATTAAGCACACAGACGGAACATGAGCAGACTTTGCTTCAAATGCCAGCTCTCCAGCTTACTTCTTGGGTAAGTCACTTCACCTCTCTCATCCTGTTTCCTTATCTGTAAACTCAGAATACTAGCACATCCCGCTGTAGGGTTATTTGAGGATTTAGGGAGTGGATGCAAGCAGACTATTGAGCACTGTTCTTTGCAGGGCCGGGATGAGGGTGAGGCGGATGAGGCACGTGCCGTGCTGTGGGTACCTCTGTAAATTCTGCCCCCATGGGGGGGTTCACTCACCTCACCCTAGTGCCAGCCCTGGTTCTTGATATTCCAAAAGTGCTCAGGGAGTGGCTGCTACTATTATATTTTTGAGGGATCTGAGGTTTCATCCATTTTCAGGACGTTGGTCAGGCAGAGTTCCAGAGTCAAAGTCTTTGAACAGTTTGGTGTAGAGGAAAGAGCACTGGCTTTGGAGTCCAAGGGTCTGAACTCTAGGAATATCAGCCAAGGAGCGGGGTGCAGAGCAGCAGCAGCAGAAGAGAAAGCCTCCTTTCACTGGGCAGGGCTCTTTCTTCCCCTCTCCTTTCTGAGAGAAGGCAGAGGCCATTCCTGAGTTTGGACTCCCAACCATGACCACTGGATTTTCTGTATCTGTAGATACTGACAACATCCAAGATCCATTCCTGATTGAAAGTCTCAGCAAATTAGGAATCGAAGGGGAATAGAAGGAGGCCTCTTCTATTTGTCCAAGGGTACCCACAGAAGAACCCACTGGTAACATCTTCCTTAACGCTCAAAACTGGCCCCTCCACCCAGGATCAGGAACAAGGTGAGCATGTCTCACTGCTCCTCTCCGAGGTTCTAGAGGTTCTAGTTAGTTCCTTAAAGCAAGAAAAAGAAATGAAAGGCATCCAGATTGGAAAATAAGAAGTAAAATTGCCATGATTATCTGTAGAGAGTCTGATGGGATCTTCTGTAAAGTTACTGGAACTAAGAAATGTGCTCAGCAAGGTTGATCTGCTGATACCGATCAATACACAAAATCAACTGTATTTCTATACACTAGCAACAAAAAATTGGAATTTGAAATTAAAAAACGTCATTTAGAATAGCATAAAAAGTACAAAATGCATAGGTAGAAGTTTTTGTATATAGCATGAGGGAGGGGAACAACTTCATTCTTTTGCGTGTGGATATCCAGTTGTCCCAATACCATTTGTTGAAGACCCTGTTTTCCTCCCATTGAATGGCCTTGGCACCACCGCAGAAAATCAACTGATCATAAAAGTGAGGGTTTCTTTCTGGACTCTCAAATTCTGTTCCATTGCACAGATGTCTATCTTTATGATAGTACTACACCGCTTGATTGCTGTGGATTTGTAGTAAGTTTTGACATTGTGATGTTACTCTTTTTCAAGATTGTTTTGGCTGTTCTACATTTGGACAACTGATTTTTGACAAAGACATAAAGGTAGTTCAGTGGAGAAAGCATAGTCTTTCCCCAAAATAGAGTTCCGGAACAATTAGACATCCATATGCCCTTGGTTTTCACTCTCTTCTTCCTGTTACCCTTGCTTTTGGCTCAACCCCTGTTTTCTGAAATGCTTCTATTCTTCCAGAAGTCGTTTCCTTATGTCTTTTCAAAAACATAAATTTAATTAAATTTAATTCAATTTAAGTCTTCTCAGTCTGTGCTTTCTCTTTTTGCAGGCTGTGACTGATCTCTCCATTCAAAGATTATTTCGGAAATCTGGGAGCGTGAGCTGCTTAAAGAGAAAGACTGTGGGGAGTGGGGAGGGCAGCCTGTGAATCTGTCCTCTGTGCCTTCCCCAGACAAATGGCCCTCCTCGCCTGGCTGGCCCTGGGAAGGGCCTGGGCGACCACAGCTACAAAGACTCGGGCACCTGCAGGACCATCGGTCATGAGGCAACTGCTCTCACTTGGTTTCTGAAGGAGTCAAGGCCTCCTCAGCCACTTTGTCCATTAGCATAATGTGTGTCTACATGACATAAATCAAGAATCTAGTGCACATGAATGTCCAGCTAAGCTGTGCAAACAGGCCTTAGAAGGCCCAGATTTGGCCATCGGTGGGGCGGGAGGTACCAGGAGAGTTCTGTGTAGCACAGAGTTCTCACAGTGTGACCCCCCCGTCCAGCAGCATCTGTCTCACCTGAGAAAGAAATCAAAGCATCACCTTGTTAGAAATCAAATTCTCAGGCCCCACCCCAAAGCTGTTGAGTCAGAAACTCTGGGGTGGGGCCCAGCAACCCGGGTTTTATCCAGCCCTTCAGGTGATTCTGATGCCCCTGGACAGTTAAAGCACTTATCTGCTTGGCACTAAATTACCAAAATTTCATATCCTGCTTCTGCCATTTGCTGCCTGTTACTTAAAATCTCTGGGGCTCAGTGCCCCCATCTGTACAGTGAGGATGATAATATCATACCAGGTTCCTAGAGGCTCTCGTTCACGTTAATGGAACAATCTACCTAAATTACTTAGGGAGCACTTAATAATCGCTAGCTTATAAATTGAATTTCCCTTGCCTTCCCTGTTTCTGAAAATTCATTGTCACATGTAATCTTCATGTAACACTTCTTAAAATCTCTCAAAGAAATTCATATGATGGCCTTACTCATGTTTCTCAGAAGCAAAGCAAGTACTGTCATCACCTTCGTCATCCATGTGTAGAAACGGAAGCCCAGATGCTCAACTGTCTTTCCAAGGTCATAGTAATAAAGTCATGGGTCTGAGACGTAAGCCACTTCTGACTGGAACATCGGTGTCTTTTGTCACATCATGAGTTCTCAGAGTGCAGGCCCGAAATCTCAGGCAACACAGGTTTAAGTGTTTTAATCAGCTACCTTTATTTATCCCTTGTAGGGAGAAAGATGTAGTTAAGGTATGCAGTTAGTCATATATAAAGTTTTCTGCAGGGGGCGCCTGGGTGGCTCAGTCGGTTAAGCGTCTGCCTTCGGCTCAGGTCATGATCCCAGGGTCCTGGGATCGAGTCCCACGTCTGGCTCCCTGCTCAGCGAGGAGCCTGCTTCTCCCTCTCCCTCTGCTGTTCCCCCTGCTTGTGCTCTCTCCCTCTCTCTCTCTATCAAATAAAAAAATAAAATATTTAAAAA